TTTGCATTCTTCTGATAAGGTTAATTTTAACTGTGCCACAAGGCTTATTACTACTTCTACAAGGCCTTGCTAAATTTACTAGACCTTACTACATACAAGGCCTCACTAATCTTTAACTTTAATTAGGCTCTTAGCAGTGACATACAGCTTACAATACATGAACAGATGACAAGAAACACCTGGTCTAATCTTCACAGCGTTCAGCAAGCACCTTCAACACAATTTTCAGCTGTGACACCTAACCCTTGTCAAGTTTTTTTCTAGGCATCATGGGAAAGCAGAATTTAAAAGAAAGTTTTGAAGAAGCATGTGGTATCATTGCTGATATTTATGGGGAACTTCTTCCAAGTAAGAGATGACACCTGGGCTGACTGAAGGTGGGAACTGACATCTAGGCCTTTATAAACCATCTCTTTGCTACTTTTTCTGTACAAATAATGTATGGTTTGTACACTGGCTATCTACATGCTCAAGATAGATGTGATCCTATAGTTTCTAAAATTCCCACTGAAGTCAACAGTGGTTGACCTGAGTGAAGACTAAAGGTTTCATTATATCACTGTTATTTTGGGTAATGCCTGATCCTGTAAATAGCTCCTCAAAATCAATGGAGCTGCACAATCAATAAGATATACTACACAACGAGAGATAGGCAGAATCAGACCTAATAAAAATGTTAGAACTGCCATTTATGAGAGCAGATTCTGCCACTTTTACTTTTGAAAATGATAAATTAAGGGCCTCATCCTGTGAATAGTGGTGCCCAGTGAAATGACTTCTATGAGACAAGTGAAGCACATGTTTAAGGATCTGTAGGATCGAGGCCTTCATTTATACATTTGTAATTTGTGTCTCCTTTGCTATATCCCATTAATAGAATATAATCCTTCCCAAGCATCTCAGAGTTTGGGTCACTATGTCCAGTTAAAGGCTACTTAAATTGGTATTTTACTCTTACCACCAAGGCTGCCAGGCATATTAATGTAATCATTTGTGCAGAGAGACAGTGAGCTTTATGTTGTTTCCCTTATACTGTGTTTTAATCACCATCAAAAGTTATACTCATAGAGAAGATGATTAAAGTACAGCCTTTATTCTCAACATTATAACATAAAAAGGAATGTCAGGAAGGCTGTTTATCTTAAATTGAATCTTTATTATGACTAACTATTGTTCAAGAGTTTGATAGTTTTGTATTGATGTACATTACAATAGCAGCACATCTTAAGAAAAAAGAAGTATACATGAAGTGTGGGGCTTTGTACAGGATAAAATTAATATAAAAACGCACTGTGAGAAATATATAAAAATGCAATGTGAGGTAGTGAGGATCAAAGGC